GGGAGGGCCTGCTTAATCTTCTTTAACTCAACAATGTTTTATACTTTTCATTGTACATGTTTTATACTTAGGTTGAATTTACTGCTAAACATTTTGCTCATTTGATGCTATTGTAAATGGAACTGTTTTCTTAATTTCATTTTCTGATTGTTCTTTGCTAGTGTATAGAAATATAAATAATTCTTATGTATTGGGCTTTTATAGCAAGTCTTTTAATAATTTGAATAGCTTTAGGCCAGGCATGTTCTTTACAGTTTGACACATTTACCTGCTTGGCCCCGATCACACTTTCCTTAGATCATTGATGATTGCCCCTGAGAATTTTATCATCCACCTAAGTTGGCAGTAAATACTGTTGCTCGGCTGATGGCATTAGGGAGGGTGGGGATAAGAGGGAGTGGTAATAAGGTATGGATGAGTTGGGGTGAACCCAAGAGAAAAAAGTTTCTGTGATGTCCAATAAAGAGAATCAAGTTTTAGTAACAGAGGCCCATCATCTTTACTGCTTTTAGGGGTGAAGAAGAGAGCATTCTCATACTGAAGAGGTGCTGGAAAGAGGAGGCAGCCTACTACGTGTCAAGATGCTATCTAGACCAAAGCCAGGGGAGTCCGAGGTGGACCTGCTGCACTTCCAGAGTCAGTTTCTTGCAGCTGGAGCAGCCCCATCTGTACAACTGGTGAAGAAAGGAAATAGGAGACACGGTGATGTTAACCTAGACCGGCCTCCATCGCGGGAGCCTCGGGATGTGGTGATGCTGGACAGTGAGTAGCTGTGGGTGCAGCAGGCCTGCAGAGAGAGGTCCATCCCTAGGGCTCCTTCCCCTTTCTCATGTGACTGGACTCTGCTCGTTATTTCAGACACTCATAGCCTCTGTTGCTACAGCCGCATTTTACAGGTTAAGAAACTGAGGCTAAAAGAGGTGAAATATCTTGCCTCAGGTGACACACCTTGAAGTCTGGGCCTACAACAGCTCCCTTTTGTTCTCTGACTTCCCACTGGCCCTCAGTCTCTTCCTGGGAAGGTGTAAGTAACCTCAAAGCTTTTTTGTTTCCCTTCTCAGGTCTCCCAGATTTGCCTCCTGCTTTGGTTCCTGCTCCCCCAAAGAGAGCCAGACCCAGCCCTGGTCAACCTCTGCCTGAACATGAGGACCCTGAGGAGCGGCTGAACAGGCATGATCAGCACATCACTGCTGTCCTGACCAAGATTACTGTGCGTCTCACCCTGGCTGAGTGGGACGAGGCGTTTTAGGGCAGTGAGGATGTTGGGTGGGGGTGGTGAACCTATGAATAGAGGGTGACTCAGAAGGGTGAAACTTTGACCCTGCAGTCAGATTGGGGACTGGTTTGGAATCACTATGCAAGAAGGACTTCCTTGCGTGGGTTTCTGATCCTGCAGAACTGGGCTAGGGGGTTTGGGCCCAGCCTGTGTCATCTCTGGATCATTACTACTTTGTGGTTTGTTGTTGCAGGAGCGAGATACAAGTTCAGTGGCTGTGACTCTGCCTGTGGCCAGTGGTGTCGCTTTCCCTCCTGTATTCCATCACTCACAGGGGAGACAGGTGGGCAGGGTGATCCCTAGATGGTGCTTAGGGGACAAAGAGTTTAACCTCATAGTATATCTTCCTCAGGTAGACAATTTTAGCGATAAGCAATTCTATTGTAAAAGCAGCGCCATGCTAAACACTTTGTATGCATTACGTGTTTAATTCTCCTAACAGAACTATATAAGATAGTTGCCATTGTTCAGATAAGGAAACTAAGAGATAAATAGTGCATTCAACACCATACATCTAATAGGTAGATGAACCAGAAATCTAACCCATGTCTATCACACTTCAACACCTGTGCTTCCACATAACTCAGCTTTTCTGAGGACTAGGGTTGTATCCCCTGGATATTGAACAAAGTTCCTTTTTTATCTCTTTATTCCAGTGACCTTGCTAGAACAGGTTGAAAAGAGAATGAAGTAATGAGTATCAGTCCCCTGCATTTTCTTTTTGCCCCACAGGGAAAGCCAGCAGCATCTGGTAAGAAGAGCATCTTTGCCCAGGAAATTGCAGCAAGGAGAATGTCTGAAGCCAGAATCCCTCCAGTTGGAGAAGCCATGTCCATGCTGGGCTCACCGGAAGGTGAGCTGGGGCAAGATGCCTTTTTCTTTATCATCGAGTCATTGTAGGATCTGTATCTTCCCTGCCTCAAATACGAAATGCACTTGAGCTATCAAAAGAGAAATCTGTCCCTCTACAGCTACTTTGTGTAGTGGGTATGAGAGGCTTAGCTCCACGTCTATATCTTAGGTGCAGGGAGAAGGCAGGCTATTACTCTACCCTGGAGGAAAGGAGTGGGTAAAGGTGTCCGGCAGGGGCTGTAAGACAGAGGCCAGGGTTGCTTTAATGATGGAAATGAATGACAGAAATGCTGGGGGTTGGATCTTAGAGACTGCCTAGACATTCAAGATAAGAGTCAAGTGTTATGCGGGAAATTTTTTATACAAGTCCTGGAATCCCAGTCTCAGGAATCCTGGAGTCCTGTGTTCTACCCAGGGGTTTCACCACTCTGTGCCCAAGAAAGTTCTGCCTCCAAGGTTAACTGGTTTACAGAAGTATAATCTTTAAGTGGGGAAGGGTAATAAAAACAGAAACTGTACTTCTTCCAGGCACTGTGACCTGTGAGGTACTCACACGTAAGGAGCAGGATGGCCAGCTTCCTCTTGGCAGCCACCACTTCCTGGGTCCTCATCTGGTCACAGGAGAGGGACTCAGGGGCCAGGAGCCTAAGCAGGAAGCCCAGACTATCCATGAAGAGAATATCGCAAGACTGCAAGCCATGACTCCTGAGGAGATCCTGCAGGAACAGAGGCAGTTGCTGGCTCAACTTGGTATGGGCACCTCGCTCTCCCCTGGCACACCCGGGAGGAACTGCCGCTCCTGAGGGCGCTTCAGTGTGAGCTGGCCATGGTGGTGACTTCTATAATGAACCACTTCGTTCTGTCCTCAGACCAGGGGGGCATAGTTGGTACTAACCTCATTGCTCACTTATGGGGGAAAAGACCCTGAGGCTCAAAACAAAGAAATTCTCCCCCGGTCCATAATTGGGAAGGAGCATGGCAATGAGATGCAGACCCAGATTTATCTGGTCTCACAGCCCCTGCTGTGAATCTCCACACTGTGTGCTCTGGAGCCTAACATAACAGACGCTGTATTGTAGCCACACTCCAGCCCTGCCACACTGTTTTCTATAGTAAGAGAATGCCAGGTCTCTCTCCTTGCCTCTGTTCACCAAAACAGTAGCACCGACTGTCCTGTTCCAGACTTTTGTATCTAGCACCTGTAAGTAGCAGAATATATATTGAATTTTTAGGGAATATTTGCACAAAAAGAATTAGCAGAAAGTGAGTGAAATTATTCCCCTAAATGCATTTCCCTTGCCCTAATCAGCATGTGTTCATTGATACCACAGCCACTTACTTTGGACATCTGACTTGGAACCAAACACAGGAAGGGCATAGACCTGAGCTGGGAGGTTGTGGGGGTGGAGGGAACAGGGAGAAGCGGGTCCCAGTGAAATATATGAGAGGACAGGTCATTGAGGCCCCAGGAAAGCCCAAGAGGCTCAGGCCAGGGCTGGGATGTCATCTCTTCTGGCCTTGGCACCCACAGGCAGGTGGTAGTCAGCGGGTTCCCTTCAGGTGTGTAGGGGCTGAGGAGGACCTGCCTCCATAATTCTGCCCTCCATCCTCTCCACTAGATCCCAGCTTGGTTGCCTTCTTGAGATCTCATGGCCGCTCCCAGAAGCCAGGTGGAGAGAAGGCTGTGGAAGAGCAAAGGTCAGCAGGAACCTCTGTAGAGGTCACTGGAGAGGAGCCCCTTGTGCCACCTTCTGCCAGTGAGCCCAGGAAGGAAGATGAGCTGGAACCAGGAACCCCAGGTTTGGGGAGTGGAGGGATCACCTTTCAGGGAATAAGAACAGAAGAAAGCCCATCTTCTAGGCACTGCAAATGGGAAAAGAGAGGCTCTTCTCCCTCCTAGGACATGTGACACTAATCCTCATTATTGGCTTGAAAGCGTTCTTCATTTGCCGACACGTATCTTCTTCCTGCGCATGCCCCCTGATTTCTTGTCTGTTGCTATTTCCTCTCCCCCAAGAGGCAACAGGGTATGTTGGCCGATCGGCCGCTGGCCCGTGCAGACCAATTACTCCTGCCTGTGAATAGCTGGCCCAGCCTAGCCTACTGTTCTTTCTGCCTCTGATCTCAGAGCTGGGGGAAAGTGGCAGGTGGAGAGTGATGGGAAAGGTAGGGTCTGACGCAGGTCAGATGAAAATGCCAGACCTGAAACAGAGAAGCCAGTGGCAGCAATTATTTTCCAGGAGCTAGATTGTTTTATTAATGATTAAAAAAGAAGAGTGAATTATGAGAGCCAGGAACCTGCTGCCCCAGGATGAACTCCCAGCTAGCTGAGCAGGTGGGGTGGGGGTTGGAGTGAGGAAGGAAGAGAAGGTGGTATGTCGGGGTCGGGGGTGGGGTGGGGTTGTTTTTTTGTTTTTGTTTTTTTAAGATTTATTTTATTTACTCATACAGAAATCGGGTAGAAGCCAGAGGTGCAGGGTCGGTGAGAGGCTTCACCAGAGACAGAGTGGGGAGCAGAACAGGCCGGCTGACAAGTACACTGCTGTGGGCGGGTCAGGAGAGGTCTGCCGCGCTATGTGGTCACCTCTGGGGCAGGGTTTGAACTCGCACTGAATTGGCTGCAGCTCACTTGCAGTGCTGCTTCCTGACCCGCTGCGCCACCAGGGAGGACTGGGTCTGTTTTTTTTTTTTTTTTATGGTTGTTTTTAAGATTTATTTTAGTTATGCATTCAAGAGCTGGGGTATAGGCCAGAGGTGAGCGGAGTAAGAGGATTCACCAAAGACAGAGTGGGGAGCAGAACAGGCAGATTGACTGAAATACACTGCTGAAGGGAGCAGCGAGTGAGACAGGAAAGATCTGCTGTGCCATGTGGGCCACCTCCCAGGCCGGGTTTCGAACTCGTACTGCAGTGGCTGCTGAGAGCTTCATAGTGCTGAAACTTAACACCTTGCACCACCAGGGAGGCCTGTGGGTCTGTTTTTGTATCTTACTCCTTCCTCAATTTCCTACCCTACTGCTCCTTTAGAGGGTTGGTACTAGAGAGTGGAGAGGTATGCTTTCCCTGTTGTTTGTGGCCCTGCCTTCCTCCTCTGTGTCCTCTCTCTTCCTTACTTCCTCCTCTTCCTCCCAACAAATCCTTGTGTTAGTGGAGGCAGAAGCTACCAGACTTCTGCGCAGGGGTGGATGTGGCCACTTTGGGGAAACAGATGGGCCCCCAGGAGATTAGTGCGCTGTATCTCCTAGGACAAGCTACTGTGCTTCCATCTCCCCAGCTCTGAGTCTGCCCGTGACCCCCCATAAAGAATGGCTGCACATGGACACCATTGAGCTGGAGAAGCTCCACTGGACTCAGAACCTGCCCCCACTCAGGCGGCAGCAGACGCAGGAGGTGAGGAGGGTCGAGTGGCCTACGGGGCGGGTCAGGGGTGGGCTGTAGCTCTTGCATCCAGGACTCAAGCCCTTCTCTTCCCTCAAACTTGAGAAATGTCTCTCCTCTGCATTCAGCCCTCTCTCCCATCACTTTGCCTGGACTCAAGGGCCAAGAGCCCATGTATAGTCAGAGGAGAATCAGGACCCACGTCCTGAGAGGTGGAGGACTGAAAGTGAGGAGTGGGTGTGGGGTTGCTGCGGCCCCTCCCTAGTCCACTTTCTCCCCCCACTAGCGGATGCAGGCCCGATTCAGTCTTCAGGGAGAGCTGCTGGCCCCGGATGTGGACCTGCCTACCCATCTGGGTCTGCATCACCACGGCGAGGAGGCGGAGGTGAGGCATGGGCAACTCTGCCAAGCGCTTTGAGCCACCATTGGAAAAGGGCCTCTGGCCAGCTGCCGTGGAGCTCCTGTGTGCCCTGCTTAGTTCCTGGCCATTCTGTCCCCGTGCATGATCACCTAATGGGCTTGAAATCTTTCTTGTCTTCCCCCCACTTTCACATTCTAGTCAGAACTTACCCGTTCTCTGTCGGCCACTCCCGTGATAGGAGAACGCTTCCTCTTAACTGCTCCATTGCATGGCTTCTGGTCTCGCCACCGTGCCATTCTGTCCTCATGGTGCTGCCACGCTGATTTCCTCGGGCCCAGCTCAGGCCATGCCTTGCCTCAGAAGTCTCCTGGCTCTCCTCTGCCTACAGAATAAAGTCTTGGCTCCTTACCCTGACAAGACAACCCTTCCAGTTTTTCCCTGCTGACCCTGCAGTTCCTGCCCTCCTGCTTTGCATGGACAGTCTCTCCCCATATCCACCTACACTCAGGAACCTCCGGGCTCAGCTCCTGAAACCTGCCCCAGGGGTGCATTTACCCTTTGCCCTGCGTTGGGTCATCATGGCTCTCACCACCCGCTGAGGCCAACCACGTTTCTCTGTTCTCTTGCTATAGATTAAATACCAGTGACTGTGCTCTTCCCAGTCAGCCTATGCCTCAGCTACTGTGTGCACATCTTATCTTTTCTGCCAGTCTGAGGGGCCATAGCAAGCAGAGGCTAGAATTCGCCACCTGTCTTTGACACACAGTGCCGGCTGGTGGGGGTGCTGTCCCCTCTCTCGGCTCCTTCTAACTTCTTGTCCCTGCCACAGAGAGCAGGGTACTCCCTGCAGGAGCTGTTTCACCTGACACGCAGCCAGGTGGCCCAACAGAGAGCACTAGCGCTGCACGTGTTGGCCCAGGTCATCGACAGGGTGAGTGGCCGGCAGGCCTGGGCCTGCCCAGCCCTGTTCACTCTGCTGACTAGCCCATACATCAGCTGACCTTGGGTCAGACTGGGAGTGGGTCCAACCCAGGTCATTGGTGGGCCAATAAAGTGTTCAGAGTAGAGTATAACCTTCAGTTGGCTTTTATCCTCCTTTCCCCAAGGCCCAGGCTGGGGAGTTTGGGGACCGGCTAGTGGGCAGTGTTTTGCGCCTCCTTTTGGATGCTGGTTTCCTCTTCCTCCTGCGCTTCTCCCTGGACGACAGAGTGGATGGAGTCATCACAGCTGCTGTCCGTGCTCTGCGGGCTCTGCTGGTCGCTCCTGGAGATGAGGTACAGTGGGCATAGGAATGGGGCTTTGAGACCTCAGGCCCCTGCATCCTGGTGGGCGTGGCCTTGTTGATACAGCTTTGCCAGGCAGAGCCGACAGTGGAATGGCAGCTTCACCCTCGTCTCTCAAGGCTCCAAAGCCCAAGGCCTTGCCTTTCTGTTTGTGGGTGGTCTCCGCTCTATTCCTGGGCCCACTTGCTAGCCTGCTCTTCCTCTTCCCACCCAATTCTCTTTCCATTGGCAGGAGCTTCTTGATAGCACCTTCGCCTGGTACCATGGAGCTTTGATGTTTCCTCTGATGCCCAGTCAGGAGGACAAAGAAGATGAGGACGAGGACGAAGAGCCCACAGCAGAAAAGGCCAACAAGAAGAGCCCTGAGGAAGGAAACCGGCCTCCATCTGACCTGGCTCGACATGATGTCATCAAGGTAGAGGCGCAGGATAGCTGCACCTGCCCCATGGCCACAGCACAGGGGCAAGCACATGTTGGACAAGAGCGGCCATCATGGCCCGGGGTCCAGCTGCATTGGCAGTGGGTTTATCTCTGATCCACCCTCAGGGGCTTCTGGCCACCAACCTGCTGCCTCGGCTGCGTTATGTGCTGGAGGTGACGTGCCCAGGACCCTCTGTGGTCCTTGACATCCTGGCTGTGCTTATCCGCCTGGCCCGGCATTCTCTGGAGTCAGCCACAAGGGTAAGAGAGGCAGCAGGGAATGGACAAAGAGCCTAGCTGGACCTGGTTTGACCCTCAGCCTCCCTTTTTCCTCCTGCCCCCCACAGGTCCTGGAGTGCCCTCGGCTGATAGAGACCATAGTTCGAGAGTTTCTGCCCACCAGCTGGTCCCCCGTGGAGGCGGGGCCTACTGCCAGTCTACACAAAGTCCCCTGCACCAGCGCCATGAAACTGCTTCGTGTCTTGGCTTCGGCTGGTAGGAACATTGCTGCCCGACTGGTGAGCAGGACACAGAGCCACACAGATAGGCTCCCCATCACCTTAGCCAAGTAGCACTAGAACAGATGCCCAGAGAGTACTTGCTAGAAGGAAGGATGAGGTAGTTTTACCTGTGCCCAGAGCTCTCACCTGGGGCCCCAGAGGGGCCTAGAACAGGCTCAGTTGGGGCAGTCTCCATAGTGAGAGGACCAGGGGCTACTCGGGACTGGGGAGTCCCAGTGGATACTGACGCCCACACTCTGCCCACCCCTAGTTGAGCAGTTTTGATCTCCGGAGCCGCCTGTGCCGCTTTACAGCTGAGGCTCCCCAGGATCTGGCTTTGCCTCCAAAGGAAGCCGAGACGCTGAGCACTGAGGCCTTCCGTCTGTGGGCCGTGGCGGCCTCTTATGGCCAGGGCTGTGACCTTTACCGGTAAGGAGAGGACCAGGGGCTGGGGAGATTAAGGTGCCCTCGAAGACCCCTCAGACCTGTACCTCTGTACAGATCTAAGCATTGCCCATGCTTTCAAACTTGGTGGGGGCTGAGAATAAGAAAGAGGGGCTTCCCTTTTCTATGTATCCCTGCCGGAAGGTGCTTTAGACTTGTTGCGGGCTTTCAGGCCTTGCTCTGGGCTAATCACTTTTGGGTAGACTTTAACCCACGAGGGGATGGGTCACTTCGGGTGTTTGATTGAGAAACTATATTGTCTTTTCTTTATTGCACACTAATTGAATCAAAGTTCCTTTCTATTAAAAAAAAAAAAATAAGAGGGGCTTCTGAGAAGAAAAGAAGGCTTGGGATCGGGGCCAGCCAAAGGACAGTAGAGCCATTTTATGTACAATGGCATCGGTGCTTGATGAAATATGGCTTCACTTTCCCTACTGAGAAAAACCATAAAGGGCTACTTTCTCTCCTCAGTCTCAGCCTTCCTCCCCTGACAAAAGCTTCCAAGAGTACCAGGCCTGGGTGGTAGGGGCTGACATCTTCTACTCCATCTCACTTCATGCCCTGAAAGGCCATTGTTCTCCCCAGGGAGCTGTATCCAGTGCTGATGCGGGCCCTGCAGGCAGCACCAAAGGAGCTCAGCGCCCACCCTCCTCGGCCCCTGTCCACTCAGCGGATAGCCTCGCTGCTCACTCTCCTCACCCGGCTGACCCTGGCAGCCAACGGCACTGGCTCTGGGCCCAGCAGGTAGGCGACTGACAATCCTGACCCGCCCACAGGATGTCCCACAGGGCCTGCGGACATGCAGGAGTGCTCCACAGGGAGAGGTGGTTAGAGCTTAGCGGGGAGTTGAGGGGCCTTACCTGGTCCCTCTTGCACTCCCATAGCGATTCTGCTGAGGACCTGTCAGCCGCTCCTTCTGGGATCGCTTGGAGCGAGGTATCTGGGCTCCAGCCTCTGGTGGAGCTATGTCTAAGACAGACCTTGAAGTTGCTACCCAGACCTGAGATGTGGTGTGCCCTGGGCCCTGTGCCCACTGCCTGCCTGCTCTTCCTGGGCGCCTACTACAAGTCCTGGAGCCAGCAGGTGAGTGCCACCCACCCGCATCCCCAGGCCTGGGCTCTGTCGCATACTCCACTGTCTTACCCCTCTGTTCCCCTCCCACTCCTGCCTCCCCCACTCCCACCAATTCCTACCTCCTACTTCCTGTCTTCTTCTCTCTACTTTCATGTCCAGTGACACTTCCAGAAGCTGTGGTGGTGGGGACCAGAGAAGCCTAAAGGTTTATGCTCTTTATGCTCTCTCAGGGTGTCAGAGCAACCTCAGGGTCTCTCCCGAAGGGTCAGAGGGCAGAAGCGAACAAACGGTGACCTGCTGGACTCTGGGCTGGGCCTGGGTACACTGGGTCCAGAAGCCAGTGTGTTCTGGCCCACAGCTCACGAGCCCCTTGGTCCTCTAGCCGAGTGTGTGCCCCGGAGATTGGCTCCAGGACATGGAACGCCTGTCGGAGGAGCTGCTGCTGCCCTTGCTGCGCCAGCCCGCTCTGGGCAGCCTGTGGGACTCCCTTGGGTATGTACAGTGTGTAGCTGTGGCAGGGGCTGGGGAGGCTTTGGGAGGAGGCACTTTTCCTCCTGTGGATTCCTGGGCCTGACTCGCTGCTGCAACCCAGGTGGAGGCCCTCGGCCTGAGGGAAACCTGAATCCATAACAGGTAGCAGTTATGTGGGCACTCCCTGCACAGCCGGGCACACGTCAGGCCAGAGCCCCTGCCAGTGTCTCCATTCTGCTTCCAGGCGCTGCTCCCCGCTCTGCAACCCGCTGTCCTGTGCTCCGGCCCCTGAAGCTCTCCCGAGCCTTGTGTCACTGGGCTGCACGGGAGGCTGCCCCTCTCTTAGTATGGCTGGCTCAGCATCGCCCTTCCCATTCCTCACTGCCCTCTTCTCTCTTTTCAACACCCTGACCCGGATCCATAAGGGCTTGTGTGGTCAGGTGAGCCCTGGGTTTCCTGGTTAGGGGCTAGACAGGAGGCCAGAAATCAGAAAGGGAGCGGGAAGGTGCCCCTTGGGGAAGGGAGGCCTCTTCTGTCAGCACCCACTTCTCTGAGTTTGGTGGGGGACAGGCCAGCTGCTGGGACACCCAGAAGAGAGCAGTCACATTCTAGACGTGAAGAAAGCTTGCTTTTCTTCAGCTGGCGGCCGTATTGGCTGCCCCGGGACTGCAGAGCTACTTCCTCCAATGTGTGACTACAGCGGCTGCCCCACACCTCACACCCTTCTCTGCGTGGGCCCTGCGCCATGAGTACCACCTGCAGTACCTGGCACTCGCCCTGGCCCAGAGAGTGGTAGGTGCCCCTGTCTGTCGGTGCCTCCCTCTGCCTCCCGCCGTCTCTGTCCACCCCACTCCCCCTCTCCATCCCACTGTCTCCATCCGACTTCTCTGGAACCCTCTCTGGAACCCGTGCTGCTTCTGCCAGGCCACACAGGTCCTGCAGCCCTGAGCCCTTCAGCCTGTACACTCTGCCTACATCCTCTTCTTCACATCTTGTTGTTTTGTGCCCTCAGCCCCTCCGCCCTCTCCCGACTGCTGTCGGCCTCTCTGTCTGCAGGCAACATTCCAGCCAATGCCAGACACCCGTGCCGCCCTCCATCATGGCCTGGCCTTGGCCCTGCTGAGCCGGCTGCTGCCCGGGAGTGAGCACCTCGCCCAGGAGCTGCTGCTGAGTTTTGTATTCCGGCCAGAGTTCCTACCGTAAGCGCGGGGCTGATGGTGTCAGCTCAGCCCTTTGCCGGGCCGCTGTGGTGACTGACAGCAGCCCTGGATCTGGAACAAGGAGACCTGGGCTGAATTCTCTTTGCCCCATGTGTTACCCCTAACCTGTCTGAGCTTGCATTTCCTCATGAGTGCAGTGAGGAGGAGGGTAACCACACTAGAGAATTATTTTGAGACTTCAGTGTGACAGTGTGACTCAAAAATGTTCTGTTAACAAGCTACACGTGTAATCGCTAACAGTGCTGCGTGCCGACTCTGTCTGGTACTCCCTTAAGCATTTAGCCGAGTACTATGAGATACAGATTCACATCACCTTCCCCGCTTGACGTGCCCCGGCTCTGCCCTAGTGTCCACTCTCTTAGTGGCCATGCCCCCAGCATGGAGTGGTATTAGGAGGACAGGGAGGAGCACGTTTAGATCCGGGAGCCTGCAGGAAGCCCTGAGCAAGGCCTTCTGGGCGCTCTGGTTCCAGCCCTCACTTTTGGCTTTTGGCTTCTGTTACAGGGAAAGAGCATCCGGGGGCCTGGAGGCAGCTGACTTCTCTGACCGGCTCTCCCTAGGGGGTGGCAGGGCTCCTGGCTGTAGGCGAGGGGCTCTGCTGGCTCAGGCCTGCCGGGATCTCCCCAGCATCCGCAGCTGTTACCTGGCCCACTGCACCCTGGTCCGAGCCAGCCTGCTTGCTTCCCAGGCCTTGTACCGAGGAGAGCTGCAGCAGGTCCCGGGCCTGCTGCTCCCTGTGCCTAAGGAGCCGCTGCTGCCCACCGACTGGCCTTTCTTGCCGTTGATTCATCTGTACCACCGGGCCTCGGAGACCCCCGCCGGGCTTCCTCCTGCCGACACAGTGGGCACAGCCACGCGGGCCCTGCAGTGGCTACTGGTCCTGGACAGCTGGCGCCCCCAGGCCCTCCTGGCCGTGCCTCCGGCCGCCCGCCTGGCACGACTCATGTGCGCCTTCCTGGTGGACGGCGAGCTCTTTCGGGAGACCCCAGTACAACACCTGGTGGCTGCCCTCCTGGCCCAGCTCTGCCAGCCCGAAGTCCTGCCGAAACTTAACTTGGACTGCCCACTCCCTGGCCTGACATCTTTCCCTGACCTCTACGCCAACTTCCTGGAGCATTTTGAGGCTGTCTCTTTTGGGGATCACCTCTTTGGAGCTCTGGTCCTCCTTCCCCTGCAGCGTCGGTTCAGCGTCACCTTGCGCCTTGCCCTCTTTGGAGAGCACGTTGGAGCCTTGCGAGCTCTGGGCCTGCCTCTGAGCCAGGTACGTTCTCAGCCCGGAAGGGCCTGCGGTGGGCTTCCTGCCCCGGGCCTTGGGAATAGTCCCGAGCAGTGGGGTGCTTGGCATGCCTCAGGTTCCTTATTTCACTACCCGAAGACTCTGAGGAGATTAAGAGAACCCATGAAAATGAGTCAGCATTCAGGTGCAGGTTTATAGTAGTTGTTCATTATTGTTAACAAGACATGGCCCTTGCCTATGAGATACTACGATCTGGATAAGAAGAGATGTACTAAAGCCAGATTCTAGGTGGGAAGCTGGGGTTTAGAGAAGGGAAAGGTCAAAGAGGGCTTCCCATAAGGAAGATTCTTTGTAGAAGAAGAGGGAGTGACCTAAGCATGGAAGGCTGAGTAGAATCTATTGTGGAGGAGGGAGGACAGGGTGCATAATGGAGCAGCACAAACAGCAGCTCAGGCAGGGGAGAGTGGCACAGGGTAGAAGGACAGAGTCCATGTTTCACTTTGGGAACTTGCTGGAAACAGGCCACATCTTAAAGGGCCTTATCAGCATAAGGAGTTAAACTTCTAAGCTATAAGGAGTTAACTATTTTTAATTTTTTATTTTCATTATTACATTCTGATAAAGTAATATTTTAACATATAAATACATTCAATATAAATATACCCTATAGATACATCTTCTACATAAAAACTAAGTGGAAAATATTTTTACATCTTCTACATAAAAACTAAGTGGGGCTCTCCCTGGTGGCGCAGTGGGTTAAAGCACAGCACTGAGAAGCTAAAGCCACTTCCACATGAGTTCGATTCCCACCTGCCCCAGAGGTGACCACATGGCGTGGCAGACCTCTCCTGACC